AAAGAAATCCAGCAAAGACTTTTGTTTCAATGAAGAAACAAACTCTTTTTTTAAGCAGCCATTTATCCCTTATTCTTTTTAAATAAATCAATTGAACTGGATCAACATCATTTTGACGTTCTTGCCAATTCATTGCAATATCTAATCAACTGCAAGCCTCTATATGAGAAAATCCACTATCTTGAACTTGATCACCTACTTCTTCCTCTTCGTCTGTTTCATTCAAAATTTCATCATTATTTAAAATTTGAAATCTTGGGTCATTTTCACCGTCTCTACACCATTCTTCTATTTCTTCTGCTGTATAATCTGACATCTTTTCATACGGAAGATGTACTGGTTCAGAAACGTCAGTTTCGTTTGTTTTTCTGTAACGAATTTTATTCCAAGATTTAAGATCACTGTAATCACTAATCATTAACCATAAGCGACAGCTACCTATCCCCCAATTGCAGACCTTTAGCACTGATCTATTCATAAATTCCTTTCGCATTCCAGTCATTGTAGACTGTCAAAATGCAGCTCGCATTCTTGGAAGATAATTTTCAGTTGAAGAAGGCTAAAGGGGTATGTAGGTTTAACTGTATAACAATACATGTATGTATTGGCTACTATAAGAAAACTGCTAAAACAGGTTGTAAATTAAATATGGTCATGGTTCGGATAATATGGACGTTCAGATAATCGGCGCTCTTCATAATTTTCAGTTGAAGAGGGCTAAAGGGGTATGTAGGTTTAACTGTATAACAATACATGTATGTATGGCAACTATAAGAAAACTGCTAAAAAAGGTTGTAAATATGGTCCTCAGATGTAGTGGATATTATTTACTCTTCTAAATTTAGAAAAATTTTCGATAAGTTAAAAGTATTCTAAACTTTAAAAAAAAAAATAGTGAATCCGGACATAGTTTGGATAGTTGGACGTTCGGATAATCGGCGCTCTACTGTATTCATATTTATTTATTTCATTATAAGAAACCAAATAAAGAATTTAATTTGGTTACCCTGTATCATATGGTTTTTTAAAGAAAATCAATGTGCCTGATATTGAAGGTAAAAACTTTTTAGCTAAGATATTTTAGTTAGGTTACAGAAATATAAATATTTAATAGACATTCTTTCTTAGGACTTCATAGATTAATGGTTTTATGACTTTTACACACATTTTGATTAAAATTAACGGTACATTTTTCCTTAAAAAAATTTCTTTTTTTATTGGTCAACCTTGTATCTTTTTAGCAATATATATTTGCAGTCACTTACTTGCTCAAATACTCCAGGAAGATTATTAATCCAATGAAAACTAAAAAGAAAAAAATAATTTTAAAAAAAAACTGTACAAGTTTTAAGTGTGAATATTTTTATAGCATTTTAAGATAATTAAAAACTAGGTACATGAAAGCACGTTAGTCAAAAAAAATATGTGTAGAGCTTGTCCCCAGTAATCATCCAAAAGAAAGTACATTGAGAAAGGTGCTATATAGAGGGTCAACTGCCCATTAAAATAAAAATGTCCCTAAACACAAGTTCAAAGGTTGTGTTAATAAATTGTAGTACTTTACAGATTACAATAAATTTACATCTAAATACAGAACAGCAGTTATTATTTTTAATCTTTATATCAATTGTGCTATTAGTTGTTATCAGTATACATTTTCGGAACCGAATGTGGTATGAATTCTTTCCAAATCCATCTGTCTCGTAAATTTTCTGTATTTGCAATTTTACTGATTTTTTAGAAACCTTGGTCAGGAGTCCAGTCTGAAAATGTATTTTATAAAAATCAAATTTAAAATAAGTAAAGGAGTTTCAGGAGTGAGGTTCCACATCATCAGAAAACAGGCCAATCCCTCTTGCCAAAGAAAAAGTACTGTGTTTCTTTAAGTGCTTGTTATGCAAGAAATAGAGAAAGGCAAAAGTTCTGCGCTAATCATTCTAGCTAAATAGCTTATTGCAATATTTTGAAAGGCAGTAATTTCTTTCCAAAGAAAGAGGCAGTAAATCTCACTCAATATCATTTGAGCAGCTGTTACAAAGGCACATAGTTGCACTTGTTGAATGTTGGTTAAGCTAGGTGGAATAAAAAAAAAAATACCTACTATTCAAATTTTATTCAGGCTACAGTTTCAGGGTGCGTAGCCAAATCTTTTAACAAAAATTAAGCACTTTTCAAGTACTTTTAAAGCACTCAAAAAATATTTTTGAGCACTATATACATTGACTAAATGCAAAATAATTTTTGAAGACTTTACATGAGCATGATAGAATAACTAGTTTCTGACAAAGAACACTTTCCTTGATTATATTAGCCATTATAAAATGATCAAAAGATTTTTCGGTTCTATATCAGAAGGTGGAAAATGAAGCCTGAAATTGAGAATATCTTGCAAAATGCAGCATAGTTGCACATGAGAGTGCAATTATCTTGCCGAACCCAGCTCAGTAGAGGACATGCGGATTCACAAGTATTTCATCAAACACGTAAAATGATCACTTTTATAAGCTACGGACTGACGGTGAGCCGAAATGGATTGTGGTTGAATGAATTGTGAAATTGCTGGATAGAACAGTGTGAAAAGCACGCTTTTGCATAATATGTGGCGAAAATCGACAAGGTAAAGAAAAAAAAAATCTCATTTTCGAAAATGAAAATTAAGCACTTTTTAAAAACACCCAATGAAAAAAGCACCTTTAAGGGCTGTTAAAAAACAAAAATCGAAAATAAGCACCTTTAAGCACTTTTTAAAAACGCTACGCACCATGAGTTTTATGATCTAAAAATAACAATTTATTGACTTTTTACTTGTAAAATGTAAAATATTATTTTTGACTGGCTTAATTAGTTCAGATATAATGCCGTTACAAACTGGGAATTGCGTAAACAAATAGATTAAAGTTAATAATTATCATTATTTATCATATTTTACAAGTGATAACATATAATAACCAGTAATTATTTATAATCATCAGTTTATTACATTAACTGCAGTGTACATACAAATTATAAAAAAAAGAGAATACTATATAAAAATAAGCATTGAACAAATATAATATAAAAAAATAATAAGAGATAATATTAACATACTTTAAGCTGCTCACAAAAAGCTCAATACTGTTTGGAGAAAAGGGCAAATATTCCTCATCTACAACCATCTTAACAGTGGGTATTTCAGAACATATTTTACTTTGCTCCTAATTACAGGAAGAGAATAAATTTAAGTAAACAGAAGAATTCGTATGCAAAACTCAACCGCACACCAGCTACAATAGGCACATACAGCAACAGGAGGGATTGTGAGCCCAACTCAAAAATCTTGAAAATTTCTTGTGTAAAATCATTAATGACGCATTTCAAAACATTCATGTCTTTTTAAATTTAAATCGTTGATATTTTTACAACATGAAATTCTAAATATGCAGCATAACTTATATGAATAATTATGTATACCTAAATTTACTTTTATCTCTAATCACATTTATTATTCCACCAGAAAAAATATTTACAAATAAAATAGATGCCAAATATAAATTCTAGTTCTAATATTTTTATATAAAATATACACGAATTTTTATACATAAATGCAATCGGCGATTTCTTGAAACTTCTGGACCTTGGATTTCCTGAAACTTCCGGATTGCGGTTAGCAAAAAAATCAGGAAATCCGGATTTTTTCCGGAGCACAATCATCTCTGCAGGAAGAACAGTTCTTTGTAGAAGAAGCACGATAGCTCAACAACTACTACAGGCACACGTGAGAATAGTTTGTTATAAAATAAGCACAACTACTTAACATCTACTACAGGCACAGACAAGAAGAACAGTTTCTAGGTATCTTGTATGTGCCTATAGAAGTAGCACAACTGCTCAACAACTAGCAGTTCAAAGAAGTTTCTAAAATTGCAAGTTTTTACATAGAGCTGCTTTCCTTGATAATTAGCACATTGATCATGTTGCTAGCATGGTAACTGGCAGGAAGATGCAAGGTTGATTCTCAGCAATCATAGCAACTCTAGGATATAAATTTCATAGCACTAAATCATATATGTGGAAAGAAAGTAGGGCTGAAAAAGTTTAGGATTCCATTTCAGCAGAACATCTGTTTTCATCTGTTAGCTGTTGAGCAAAACACTGCCTCTTATTTGATGAGAAAAGAAGAGAGAGATGGACATACCAACTTATTTATCCTAACACTTAACTCTTCTACTTTCAGATTCAATGCCCAAACAAATCATTTTAATTAAATAAATAAAGGTAGATACTTATTTATTTATTTTATTAAATCTAGATTTGTTCACATGAATATAAACATTGTTTTATGAATAAAAAAGAAATATTACAGAACTGTTCTTTTTTTCTTCTTTTTTCCTACACAGCAATAACTTCTGCATGATTTTTTCTTTCATTAAAAGATTTATATCACAATGACATATTGAAAATACTAACAAGTTCAATGCTACATAACTTATCATATCTTAACAAGTTTGCAGTGAAATTATGGAGAACAAAAACAATTGAATATACAAAATGTCGTACATTTAACTTTTTTGCTAAAATTTGTTTATTGTAAGTTTTAAAATACTAAGGCAACAGATACATACCACCATTTCAGATGAAATGTCACACTGATATAGCATCTCAACATTGTCCTAAAAAGATGAAATTAAAATCTAAAGCATTTAAAATAGAAAAGAAAACATAAAATTAAAAATAAAATTAAAAATATTTCAATAAAAAGATCTAAATTTTTTTTTTTTTTACTTTTAGTACACAAATACAAATTATAAAAAAATTTTAAAACTAGCAAAACAATTGGATTGAAAATTTTATTTTCATCAAACCAAATAAAGAGATATTAAGACTTTTTAAAAGTTCACTCACTGGTGTTAAATGCTTAGAAATATGACCTTTTCCACAGCCTAGCTCCACACAATTAGTAAATGTCCTGTAATAATTAAATTTAATAAATAATTAAAGAACTATTTTCACTTGTAATATACGCATTTGTATAAAAGGTTTTTTTTTTAAACAAACCACAAATAAAGTTTTAAAAAGAGTTTTAGTTTTAAAAAGACAAGAATTTAGAGAGAATTAAAGAGAGAATTTAGTTTTAAAAAGACACCATAGCCTCATTATTATTTTTTTTTTTTTATTTTTTTTTACAGAAATCACTTTTTCTCCTTTAAACTTTTTAAATAACATCAGCTATAAAGTGTTTAGTCGATAATACAGCCATTCTTCAGTTTCAGGTTAAACTAGAAAATAGCTTTTTGCTATGTTCAAAAGAAAAGTTTTGAGTTTATTTAATTTATTATTAACAATAAATTTGCTTTCAGTACATAATTTGATCAAAACAATTACAAAAGATAAACTTACTTCTGTTTTAGTCAAAGTAGCAGGTAATCTTACATAAATTTAGAATTCAATGGTTTTAACTCCTTGCAATGTTAACTTCTTTTTTTTTTTAAATAAAGCTAAAAGTGTTGTAAAAGATGTTTTGTAGTTTTAAATAATTTTCCAAATTATTTCACAACATTTAAAATAAACTAATGTTTTCTAAAGTAAAATTGTCAAAGAGTAGGCAAAATTTAGTACTATCGGCTGAAACACTTTTGGTAAAAATAAATGCAAGCAACATTCATTTACAAATCCCTACTGAAAAATTGTGCAATCAGTAATAAAATATAAAAGTTTAATAAATGCTTCGTTAGTAATAAAAGTAACAAATTAAGAAGAAAAAAATTTCTTTAGATAGATATTGCACTTAAATTTTGAAAAGCATATAATGTAAATGCATATTTAATAATATGTATTGGTTTTAACTATATAACAACTTTTACTTAAACTGTAAACAATTGAGCTGTTTTAGTCAGAGAGGTTTGCTGTTTAGTAACCTTTAAAGAGACCTATTACAATTCTTAGATATCAATTATAATATAATTCACTAATCAAAATTATAATGTAATTCTTTATGCTTTAAATAATAGTAAAAATATGTACATTTAGATATTATTATTGAATAATAATAAAATAATTATAAACTATAAGCAAACTTAAAACATTTTTATTTATAGAAAAAATTAAAAAATTGAATGATTAAATTACACAATAGCTGTTTAAGAATACAAAATGGCAAAATTACCTAGTGATATCAAATACACGGTCTGCAACTCTGTCACCAACCTAATTAAATAAATTCAAAAAATTTGTTTTTAAGACATCCTGATTAAACAAAAACAAAAAAAAAACATCAGTAAATATTCACAGAACATGTCAGCAAATCATTTACTAGTTAAGTAGAACCTCAATTCTCTGAAGTAATTTAAATTGAACTTCATAAGAAAAATCAAAATTTCCAGATAATCAAGATCAGCGTTTATCCATCATAAAAACTATCAATAGGGTTATAAAAAAGTTTTATTTGTTGTGCAGTCGAACTCGTTTATAACGAGCACAAAGGGACCGTAACATTGTACTCGTTAAATCCGAGTGCAACCAGAAGAGGGGGGGGGGCTTGAGAGGTCAAATGATTGAGTTTACTTAAAATTTAATTAATACTTACTTACTTTAATTACATCAATTAATTTAAATAAATACTTTTTTTAATTTAATGACAACTAACCTCCCCAACCTGCAAAAGATTAGAGCGATAAGGGCAATTAAATTTCAGTTCAAAGTTAAATTTCAATTTCGCACATTTCTTATCATTTTGAAAAAAGGATATGACAGAAAGACTAGAAAGATGAGAAAAAAGATTGTAAGACAGAAAAATATTGCTCGCTAAAACTGGGTCTTGCTCGTTAAAGGCGACTTCTGTGCCATAGATTTAACATTGATACAACCAAATATTCTCATTTCCCTCGGTAAATCCGAGCTCGTTATAGACAAGTTCGACTGTACTACTAAGCACAGTGATGCATGATCCAATGGTGGTTTTTCTTATATAAATGACAAAAAAAGTTTTGTTTATACCTGAGATGTTATAGCTGATAGTTAAATTTTTTCCACTTTTAAAAAATAATTCTTGCACCAATAATACTATATGGCATCTAGTATTTTTAAAGTTGTTAAGTCATATCCAATAAATATCAGGGGTCTGTCTAGGTTTTTCTGAAAGGTACCTATTTTGTGAAAATTTTGACATAATTTGTGAAAAATTAAAAATTATATTAAAAAGTCAACACAAAAACATGGTAAAAATATAGATTTATCGTTTCTTAAGGGATACAAAACTAAAATTTTAAGAAAAAGTATTTTGTGAAACTACCGTTTTCCCAAAGTTGAATTTGTGAAACTACCGTTTTACCTAAAATTGAATTTGTGAAGGTACCGCTAAACGGTAGTAAATTCGGCCTGGACAGATCCCTGAATATATATATAGAATAAAAGACTATATATGAGTCAACACAATGCATATTGAAAAAGGAAAAAAGACAAACCAAATGTTTAGAAAAAATTGGAAACAGGCTTTATTAGCAGAAATATTCCGGTAATAGAGGCTTTATTGAACTAGACGAGAATTCTATAAAATTATATCTGTCCCAAAATGATAATCAAGTGTTTATGACAACTAAGCAGCAGTGGCATACAGAAAAAAAAATCACAAAATCTATCAAACCTGAGAGGAAAAAATATAAAAAACCTCAATGAAAGCCATATTTTAAAACAATTTATTACAACTATAAGAATTAGGCAGTTTCATTCGTTTCTTTGGCAATTTCAGAAGGCACAAATACCAATAGAGAAAATGTACTAAGTTTATGTTGATTCAGCACTAAGATACCGACATATTTAAAATACAGTCTTGTGCTGCCCTTTATGTAGCATTTAATTTTTATCCACCCTTTAAAATTTATTTCAGCCTACAATCTTCTGCTAACATAACATGATTTTAGTAAGCAATATATTGTTTTTGTAACAGCTAATTAGATAAAATTATAAAAAAGGCTCTTCTAAGAGAAACATCTTAACTTTTAGTGCAAGAAAGACTAGTCAACTATGAACAAATTTGAAAGTTATATTTATGCATAATAAATAGAGTGCGCATTTACTTTTAAAAATTTCATACTGTATAGATAGAACAGATCTTTTACTTGGCAATGTTAACAAAACCTGGGAAATGGGTAAACAAAGCCATTAGTTAAAGTTAAATTCGAAATTACTTACAAATTTGAAACTTGCTTTAAAAAAAATTATTGAAAATAATAAATATTAAAAATAACGGGTAAAATAAAAGTACACACAATATTGAGCAATGAGGTCCCGTCTTTATAAGATATTATCACTTAAAAATTAACTGTAATGATTTAAGAGGAAAATCCTGAATTATTTTAATTAAAACAAATTTATGGAAATAGCTTGATTTACTGCTCCAAACGTGCTAAAATACAGTAGACCAATTACAAACCTGTATTAAATGGATTATAAATACAAATAAATATAATATAGAGGTAATATTTTCTGATTCTTACTAAATCTCGTTACAAACAACAAAAGAGAAGTTTGTAATAAATATAAACCAATAAAAGCTGCAGAAAAACTCTACATGAACTAAAATTTCTGTTTTTTTAAAAAAAAAAAAAAAAAGAAACGTAAAATAATCTTTTAGAACATAAGTTTGAAAAAGTGTAGCTTACTTCATCTTTCAAATAATCATAAACTTCGCCACCTTTGATTTTTGCCGACCAATTTCTGTGTATCTTTTTAGTTTGTCTATCAAAAACATCTAAAGTTGTAATATTTGAAAATCTTCGTATAAAATGAACGTTACGAAAAAATTCTGTTTTTTTAATAAAAGGGTTCAAAATGTTGTAATAAAATGATAAATTGCGAACATAAGTGGCAAACATATTCAATATTTTACTGTTTTAAATGTAAATTAGTAATTAATAAATGGTTAACATGACTTAAATATTTTATTAAGTTTACATTTTACTTATAAACTTGAACATATTTCTCAAAATCAAACCGAATTTTCAAATTTCAACCTTCACATCAAATATAAATATAAACAAACCATTGCTTCACTTCATTTACACCATTTACACTTGCGTATTTTTTGCACTTTCATAAACTACTACCTTTACTTCTAAGAAAATTCCAAACTGTAACTGGGTTTCTTTCATTTCAAAATAAACAAAACATGGCTATACCTCCCAAACCTCGTGTACGTGGAAGTAAAAATAGGAAAAAAGCATGGAAAAAGACAGATATTACGGAGGTTGAAGAATATTTGGAAGAAAAAAGATTTGATGAGAGAATAGGGTATGCTTAATATGGTTTTGAACAATAAATATAACTGTTTAAAAGTGTGTTGACAAAGAGTAATAGTCGGAACACCAAATTTGCAAGTTTAAATTATCTCAAACCGTTATGTCATATATTACATTGCTGCATGTTTGTAATTTAATAATTTGTGTACGTGACCAGGATATTTTCTAATGAAATTTCAGGAAGACCGCACACTGAAAGAGCGAGTAGGTAGTAGTAGGCACGTTAGGCAAATTTCCATGAGTTTGTCATCACTTCTATGCATTCTAATGGAAAAGTATCACCTTTTATATGATTCTTGATCTTTTCCGCAAAGTATGTTCTGCCTAAGGGCTCGCTTTATTTTTAAAGTAGCATAAGTATAAAAAACATTTTTTTGTATGTAAGATTCTTTTAAAATTTATAATACTAAACACTTTGAAACTAATTTCAAGAGGGTATAGGAAGGTTTTAGGCTGTATACCTTATCCCGGGAGTATCTCTTTTTATAGTCTCCAGCGGGCCAAAATTCGGTGACTATTTTAGCGTAAGATACATGGTGATATTTCCATATTGTGATCAGTAGCGCCAACTACAATCGCCAAAGTGCCAAATAGATTTTAAACTTTCAAATTTTTTAAAAAAAATATGTGGATGTTTGCCCCGGGGTGACTACGAGTTAAACCGTTCGAGTTAGTCCCTTTTTGTGATGTTTTTTTTTTTTTAAGTTTCTCGCGGGCCACTGTCCGGAAGTTTCCAAGACTTAGCAATTATTCTATCGCAGATCATGATACGAAAATCTCTCCGATATACATAATACACGAATGCCATTTGTGGAAAATTTATTACCATTGCAGATTCTTGAGTAGGCTCATAAAATGTGTATTATGATTCTACATTGTATATG